ATTTTCCCAGGGCAATAGCCTCAGCTCAGAAGAGAGTGGTTTCTACCCCAAGTCAGAGCCATGAGATGAAGTAGACGGGGAGTGGGAGTGGGTGGAGCAACCTCAGAAGGTAGAGAAGCATGTCTGACTAAGTGTCCACACCTGACGCTATATCTAAGCCTTTTGTGGCAGATCTAAAAAGGACGACGAATTCCTTCTATGCTCGCGTGCTCAGCTGTCTGCCCTGTGACTTTTCCACTTCTGCATTAAGGGGTGGAGCTTTTTCTTCAACCCTGGAATTTGGCTGGCCTGTGAGTTCCTCTGACCAAGAGAATGTGGGAGCAGTTATGTTGTATGAGTTCCCAGCGCAGGCCCAGAGGCCCCGCAGCTGCTTCTCTCTTTCTCTCTGTCTCTCTCTCTGTCTCTCTCTGTTTCTGTCTCTCTCATTCTCTCTCTTAGCACCCGGAGCCTGTCCTGTGAAGAAGCTGGACCAGCCTCTGACCGTCCAGCCTTGATGTCCCCTCAGTTAGACTAAACTAGAAGGGACTTCCTCCTGATTCCAGGTCCCTGACCTCCCTGTCCTTAGAGCATTGACTTAGAAAACTTGTCACTGTGAACTCTTTCTCTGTCCCTTGGAGAGGTATGTAAATCTTTTGAAAAGTCCCTTGCCAGTTTTACAGCCCAGGAATGTCTTTCTTAGGGACACAGGGTACCTCTTTGAAATGTGACTGTCTGGGGGATAGAGCCGCTGTCTCACTATCTCTGGGGGTGGTAGGGACCTAGCTTTGGGGATCTCTGGGGAGAAAGAGCCCAACTCCAGACATAAGCGAGGCCGTCTGTGACAGCCCAGTCCCGTCCCAATGCCGTATGACTGCACATGATCTCCTCTGGGAGAAGCAGCCCAGACTATTGGGCCACAGAATGAGGAGCACATACAATCTGTGTTGCTTTAAGCCACTTCATTTTGGAGTGTTTGGATACGCAGTAACAGACATGGATGTGCTTCCATTGGGTCATCATTTTGTGGCGTGGGCAGGACTTGTTTTGACTTAGTTGGCCAAAGCAACAGGAAAAATGAGTATCACCCCTCAGCTCCAGAAGATTCTTCAAAGCCCACCTTGTGAGGCCAAAGTTGAGACTCTGCAAAGCGTGTTCCTCCTTTGCCTGCCCTTGGGTTCTGCAGACAGGAGCCGCAGAAGATGGGAAGGCAGAGGAGGAGAAGGTGATTGGTCTTGCTGCTGTCTTCCTGCTCCTGTTGTGGATCCCCAAGCAATGGCTGTCCACCCTGGAGCTGAGGTCTTTTAGGCTGTCATTGTCGGCACTCCCAGAAACAGCCCATGATGCCCTAGAGGAGCTCCCAGAGTGGCAGGCTCGCAGCTGGATGGGGCTCCTTCTCTGAGTCTCTGGGTTCTTATAACTCCAATGTCTTCTCTCAACTGTGCCAGTCCTTTGTTTGGGGGCTGCATCCCGCCACTGTCACTCTACTGTTCTTGTTTTGCTGTTTCATTTCTCCAACTCTTTTATCCAGTTCCCTCCTTTGAATTGTCCCTGTGGAAACACCTAGTGCAGATTCTATAGAGACACAGTCTTCAAAACTCTAGTGACTCAAAGGCTGCTCCTACGTGGCCTTGAACTAAGTAGTGCGTTGAACTAAATAGTCAGAGGAAAGTACCGCAGCACCCCTTTACCAAGGGATTGTTTCTAGAATCATGGATAGAGCCGACTGGATGGCAGATGATGAGAAAAGCTAACGGATTGTATGAGCATCAGGGGAGAAGGGCATGAAAAATCAAAACCCAAGTGAGGGGAGAATGTATTGAGAAAATTTCCATAGTTACATCCTCACTACGTCACAGGATTCTGCTTGAGCACCGTCTCTCCCCCTCCCTGCAGCATCCAGGTGGTGGTTAGAGCATCATGAAATCGCTGTCCTGGCTCACAGAAGGAAGAGGGATTGCAGGCCAGGGCTATTTTGCAGTGTCTGCTGACCTCAGATCTTGACCCTCTTCTGCTTATGTGTCTCCCTTTTCAAGACTTGCTCAGACTCTCCATGCTTTCCTGCCTGACTCTCATTTGAACTTGTTTCGAGGAGAGGATCATGAGCGGGGAGGTGCTGCTGACGGCATGGGCATATGCTGCCAAAGGGGCATATTTAACTGCCAGGAAAGTGCAGAGATCATGGAGCTCAAACACCAATCTCTAAAGTGTGTTTTGTTTGGATTAAATTGGAAGCATCCCCCTACTGGAGACAAGGAACCACATATGTGTGTGTTTGGGGCAATGGCTCATGCCCACACTGTCCCTCATCATGGACCAGGCAGTGTTCCTGGGAGGAGCAGGCCACTCTGTCTCATGAGGCAGCAGTGCTCCTGGAGACTTGGGGTGAAGGGAGGGAGGAACGCGAGGCTGACTCCGTGCCCTCCAGGAATCTGTAAACAGGGTGAGTCCCTTATTGATTCTGTGTCAGGGGGTCTGAGGACATTGTTCTTCTCCTACTTTGTAAGAGCTGTTACAGCAGGTGGTGGAATTCCTCAGTGCATGTTCTACTGAGAGTGTCAATAACGAACTAATGTTAATTGCCAATCGAAAAGAGAAGAAAAGTGGTCATGCAGGCCACCCAGCATAAACTAGCACCTGGTGGACATAGGCATCCCCACCTCTGCTTTCTTCTTCTTCTCAGCACGGGTGTCACTTAATGAGTTGATTTTCTCATTGTCCATCTGCCTCCACTGGAATGTCATACCCAGGAGGAGGGATGAGATCTGAGTTCTTCACTTCAGGACCTGACACTGATGCAACACTCAATAAATACTGGTGGCGTGAATGCATGCAGGGGTCTGGGGTTATAAAGGATGATGATTTGCACACATCCTGATCCCTCGGCCAGTCACTGTGCAGACTTTTCCTTCTCTTCTGCACTCTTTAGCATCCAACAGCCCTGGTGGATGAATGTTCAGGGAGAACCCAGGAAGAGGTGAATAATTCTCATGGGTAGCAGGAAGGGGAGCTGCTATTAAGCCAGGGAAGGGCCTTCCCCGTGGGCATGACACAGCATGGACATGCAGGGTGTGTGCGGTGAGATGATTAGACAGCAGGAGAGGGCAGGGGGCAGATGCAGCGGGAGAGTTAGGCTCAGACTTGGAGAGTGTTCTGATTCGGGGGCTGTGTGGGCAGAGGCAGGGGCTCCAGAGGTCTATGTAGGAAGCATTTAGATAGAGCAGTGAGGCTGGAGGGTTTGGGGGATGGTTTCGAAGCTACATTTGTTTTGCAAGTTCTTGGCGTTATCTCTAGTTCATCCTTCCTTGGGCAGCTGTAGGGAGGAGCCTGCAGGAGATGATGGGGGTGTTAAAGACCCCGCCTTCACCTCCCTGACTCAGTCCTGCTCCTGGGTGTAGAGAGACACGGCCGCCTCCAGTCACATAGAGTTCCACAGGGAAGGGGAAGGTCTGAATGAAGACATTCGGGGGCTTTCAGCACAAATGACGTCATAGGGCCCCTCCCCTCTAAACATTCCAAAACCAATACAGTGTGAAGGGCAAAAGAAGTATAAAGGAGACGAGAAAATTCTGATTTTTCTCGGCAACAACTAGTCATGCATGATATTTTTCAGCAAGTTCAACCACTAGCATCACGTCTGGGACTATACTTGGTAGGACTCTGTGTCCTGTCTTCAGAGCAGAGCCCGGATACATCTTGACATTTTTCTAGAGAATCTTGTCTCTAAGGCAGCATTTGCGAAGATCAGAGCCTTCCCCCTAAGCCAGTAATCCCTCTCACACAACCCACTGACCCATAAAGGTAGAAGGGCCCAGGATACTCTTTGTGGTCGATGGAAGAGTGGCTATCATTGTACGTCTCCCTGAATTGGACCTCAATTGTGTGACTTTGCATCTCCTCCCCTCGGCAGGTGATGTCTGTTTTCATTACTGTGGAATCTATGTGGTCAGAAGACTTGCTTCAGTCAATAGAAGACAGCAGAGGGGGCCTGTTATGAGCCTAGACTTCAAGACACCTTGCATGGTTCCTTTGGTTCTACTGGGACCCTGGAAGCCACGATGAAAATAAGCCTGGGTGAGTCTGAGATGAGCTGAGTCTTGGCTCAGAGATTCCCGTTGTCTCAGCTAGAAGGCAACCCCAGCCAACCTGGAAGCTGACTGCAGATGCAGGAGTAAGCCCAGGTGTTCTGGACTGAATTGTGTCCCCCTAAATTCATATCTTGATGTCCTAACTCCTAGTACCTCAGAATGTAATCATATTTGGAGATTAGATTTTTAAAGAGGTAATTAAATCAAAATGAGGTCATTAGGGTGGGCCCTAATTCATGATGGCTAGTGTACCGATAAGAAGACAAAGTTTGGACACAGGTGTGCACAGCGGGAAGACCATGGGAAGATACAGGGAGAGGTCAGCCATCAGCAAGTGAGAGACAGAGGCCTCAGTAGCAGCCAACCTCGCTGCTGTCTTGATCTTGGACTGCAAGCCTCGGAAATAGTGAATAAATAAATTTTTATTGCTTAAGCCACTGGCTGTGATCGTTTGTTATGACAGCCCCAGAGGACTAATAACCTGGTAAGCGTGACCAGAAGAATCACTCAACTCAGCCCAGCTCCTCTGGCCAACCATGGATTCATGAGCTCAGTAGGTGCTGGCTGTCTTAAACCACTACCTTTCGGTGTGGGGTTTCACAGAGTCAAGTGATAAACTTTTGAAGGCCCAGGAAATGACTCAGCATTAATGGAAAACAGAATAAGGTGAATTCCTGGATAATACCCTCCTTTTCTCCCCCTGGACACACATCTGCCATATATGGGGACACTACAGTCACCTTCCCATAATTAGGGATCTAGAATCCCCTCTTCCAGCACACACCTGAACCCCAACATTTCCATGTAAAAGCATCTCCCATCTCAGGCACTCCAGGCCTCCCCACTCCTAGGCCCGTTATGCACGTGTCAGTTCCCTCGCTGCTTCCACACACGTCTCTCCCAGACACTGTTACATGTAGTAATCACTTTCTTAAATGCAGCATGGGTTGTTTCTTTATTTTCAGGAAATAATATCACAGCACTTTCAGAGTTATAGTCAGCCCTTTATTTAGATCTCTGGGCTCCTTGTCCACCCATGTCCTTCAGCCGACCATCCACGCAGACAGCATTTCTTTATCCCAAACCAACAGGAACCAAGACGTTCATGATCTTCTGGGCAAGAAAACCATTTACACTGGGCACCAGCCTGAATGCACTCCTCTTCTGAGTCTATGCGCTGGGTGGAGGCTGTGGAGAGGAAAATCTTTCGGTCACTAAGTAGGGACTAATATTCCCTGTGAATATGGGGACATGACACGGGCCCTGAGGAGCCGGCAGGAGAGGCTCCTTCTGCAGGCGCCTCCCTCAGAAACCCTATGGAGCCCCCGCTCCTTCTGCTCTGCTGCCACTGTTGCGTTGGTTCCTGGCGGGCAGGACAGCCTCTGCTCTAAAGAGGGCAGGTACTGAAGTGTCTGCCCCGAATGCTGACTCAAGGCTCCCCTGCCTGCCCCCCAGCATCCAGCCCCTGTTCCAGATGCTCAAGGGGACTCTGTGCAGCCTCACGCAGCCTGATGAGAACCACCTCACACTGCACAGTCCCAGCACGCTCTGGGCACAAAAGGACAGGAGAGATTGGGCCAGAGGAACTGGGCAGAAAGAGCAGACCGGGGTCAGGGGCCTTCCGCCCTGCTGCCCTCTGTGCTGCATCCAGGCCTCAGCTGTGGCAGGGGTGTGGGCCTGTCACTGTGGGCCATCTAGTCAGAGACCACACACAGTAAAAGGGCAGGGATCACAGAGGGGGAGCACACCTGGCGTGTCTCTGCTGCTCTGCGAGGCCCCTCCTAAGCTCTCCCTTGTTTGTCCTCAATTAGACTCTGTACGACTCTGGGGTTTGTCCTCCTTTTCAGGAGAAGACAAGGTTGAGTTTGAGGACAGCTCAGAGACTTGTCTAAGTGCACACTGTGAGTCAGCATCAGAGCTGAGAAAAACACTGGTGTTTTGACTCCTGGCTCCAGCTTTCTCCTTTATCCTGGGCTCTCTCCCAGGCAGGGAAGTCGCACAGTAAATGAGCCCTGGGGATGGCACCTCATTATCCCCATGGCCTCTTCCAAGGCCTGAAAGCCTGGGCTGGCCCCGTGGTGTTGTCTTTACCTACTCACTGGGTTCATCTTCCAGGGAAATGACCCCAAACTTAGCCTGAGAGTTACTGAGGGCCATGTTTCAGTCCATTAAGAGCATGCTAAGAATCTCCCATGAGACATTCATTCTTTGGTTGATACTCTCCTTGATGCTCAGATTTATTACTTATTTCCAGACCCTGAGCCACTCCACTTATATGGCCTGTGTCCCATTCCCTGGGCATGAGACCCCCGTGCCCCACACCAGCCTGGCTTCAGAGCTCACCTGTGGCAAAGTGAGGAAAGAGGATGAAGCAGGTCAGGAGCACGAAGTAGAGACACCGCATGGTGAACGCCGGCTGGACCCTGAGCAGCAGGAGAAGATGAGGAGCTGCTCTGAGACTGGGACCCAGCGAGGCTGCTGCAGGCGGAAGGAGCCTCTATTTACAAGGCTCCTAGGTGCTTGCACAACATTTGATTCTGGAACCTTGCCTGCTGTGATCCTGATTACAACACAACTATTGACTTTTGTGCATGAGACGCTGTCCGTTATGCAACCCCTCTCCCTCAGGCACACCGCTCTGGTGGGAATGGCTTCACTTCCCGCTCCTGTGTGGGATGCTTAACCCACACACCTGACCTCAGAGAGTTTTCCAGAATGGACCCCTAACCAAGGCCCCAGCAACTAGAAGGGAGATTCCATTCACCGAAATGATGATAAAGGGTGGGTTGTGGTGGAAACTTCCATGACTGTGAAGCCCAGCATGTTTGTTCAGTCATTGGAGAAAGAAAAGCTCTTTTTGTCTTGAAAGGTACAAAAACAACATTGCCCCAGGATTGCAGTAGCCATCTCGCTTTTGTGAAGAAGTGGGTCTGGGAATAAATCAGACACTGTTGAAAATATTCTGGGTTCCTGGGGACATTGGTCTGCATAGGGTCCAAGGTCCCCGAAGGCTGACCTTCTTCTGGATTGCTCAAACTGTGGCCCTGGTTTATTTTCTCCAGTTCAAGCTGAGTTTTTGGTTATCTGCAATTGCAAGTGTGTTGGCTGGCAATGAGATTTGAGGCTGTAAGACAGATGAAGCCCAGTCATGATGGGGGGCCGCGCAGGGTTGGTGGGGGCTCCTGGGAACAGAGCTGTGCTTTTGTAGTAGTCAGGTAAAGCAGTGCTTTCACATGTGATATGGGGGGAGTGTTCTAGATTCATGTTAGCTATCACGGGACCCCTGGAGATGCTTGGGGGAGGTATTTGCAGCCATAGCTTTGCTGTGCAGTCTTCATGCACATTCTCATGGGCCTCCTCTGCTGTTCACACCTGAAGTAGAAGCAGGTGTGGCATGTCACGGTGGTCATGAGAAGGATGAGTGCACACTTGACCTGTCATGATTTGCTCTGATAACAGCGAGTCCTGAGAAGACCAGACTCTCCTGCAGCAGGAGTGAAGTCCCTTCTTTCTCAGTGAAAACAAAGACAAAGGTAAGCTGTTTGCTAGTTGTTTTGTAACCACAACAAATCAGCAGAGAGCATGCCCTGTATGAAACAACAAGGTAAATGTTCAAAGATCGAGGTTGCTCCCCTAAGCGAGGCTGAAGACTCCAGTCCCCAGCATTTGGAATTTAGGCCTCAGTCCTCGTTTTTGGATGGATCACTGGGTGTGTGGCACATCCTTGCTTTTACCCAGATTTGAACAGCAGAATGGCCCCTTGGCCCAAGCAGATGTAGATGAAGTGTGTGGTTTCCTGTGTCACGTAACCTGAAGGTCCTCCCCACAAGGCAGTGCCAGGTGGGGTTGTATTTCTCGTCAACGTCCTTCTCCATAGGGGACACAATGTGCTCCTCTGTGTTGTGTTTCTCCAGCACCTGGGTGGGGGTTAGAGCTGGATTCCTTTCCTGAGGCCACTGTCACAAATGACAAAAACCTGGTGGCTTCAAACAACAGAAAGTGATTCTCTCAAAGCTGAAGAGGCCAGAACTCTGAGATCAGTGTCCCTGGGCCGAAGTCACGGTGTTGTCTGGGCCATGCTCCCACAGAAGCTCTAGGGAGAGTCTGTCCTTTGCCTCTTGCAGCGTCTGGTGGCTGCTGGAACCCCTTAACTTTCAGCCATATCTCTCCAGTCTCGGTCTCTGTGGACCCAGTGCCTCCTGCTCTTCTGTGGGTTCTGATTTCCCTCTGCATCTGTCTTATGACTTGTGCTGGTGTTTAGGGCACATTGGAAAAGTCCAGGGTAATCTCCCATCTCAAAACCCTTAACTTAATCACATCTGCAAAGACCCTTTTACCAAAAAGGTCCGTTCACAGGTTCTAGAGCTGACAGCTGATGCCCTGGCGTCATTGTTCAGCCTGCTACAGGGGCTTTCAGAAGTCTCCAGTTTCTTCACAAAGGACCAAGGAAAGCAAGGCTCAAGCTTCATGGTCACAGTGCTGCATCAGCCTTATGTGGTGGCAGGAAGTTGTCACCCACCAGACCAGCGGCTGCTTCCAGAGAAGCCTCTGGAGCTGCCTTCCTGCTCCAAGCTGGGAAGGTGGGAGCCATGGAGGATCCACACCCACAGCAGGGACATGACGGGCTCTTTTTGCTGACCCCTGGGGAAGGATCAGGAAGCAGGGCCTCACCTTAGATTTTGAAGTTCAAATGGGGAGACTCCCCCCTGGGTCTGACTGATCTGGGTCTCACTGGCCTCCCCATCACGGGAGAAGACATTTCCCAACACTGCGTGGGCAGTGCTGGCAGAGTGGACCGTGGTCAGTGTTTATCCTGTTATTTCATCAGAAAGTCGCTTTTCCCACTGTCAGCGGGCCACCAGAGTTTCGCATTCCTCACTGACCTATTGCTTCCCAGGAGCTGGAGAAAGGTGGGCTGTCCATGACTTTCATTGTCAACAAGTCCTCAGTAATGTCAGGAACCCTGCTTTTCGTGGTGCTTTACCAGGGCTGAATGAAAGATCTGATTTTGGATGGGTGATTACTGTAGCACTAGTTTAAAGTGAATTGACAGCAGATCTCTGGTCCCGGCTCACAGGGGAGGATTATACTGTAAAGGGCAGAACAAGGTCACTGAAGGTAAGGTGTATGATTTGTGTTCTTCACAATCATGGCCCACATGTGTGTGTTTCATGTGACAAGGCCCAGATGCAGGTTTGCTGCATGAAATGAAAGACATCCCACATCTGGGGTTTTTGCCCCAAAGTCTTCCATCACAGCGCTCATGGGGCACATTTTCCCCACGAAGAGGAGCAGGTGAAATTTGCCACATGAGGTGAGGTACCACAGACACTCCCATCAGGCCTCTTTGTGACTGCTCACCCAGCTCAGAGGAGGCCCCCGTGTGGTCCTTAGGGGTTACCCATCACATTGGCATCTGGGAAGTTCCCCAGTGTCTATGTTGCCCCTGCTGGCACCTCACCCAGCTCTCAACATTTCTGGCCACAAGGCACCCAGCTCTGCTTCTCAGGCTACCTGCATTTGGCCCTGGAAGGGACCACTGAGATTTGGTTCTCACTTGGAGGGAGACACATCCAAGGTTTAAAATCGAAGGTGTATTTGCACAGGTAATCACCGAGGGCAGATGTTCTTGAACAGAGTCAGGCTTAACAGTGATGAATAATGAACAATAATCAGTGCTTCAGGACAAATGTAGCTTTCCCAACACAACACACAAAAATGTTTCCCTTCTTTAATATAATTGACTGAAAACATAAATGTTCCTTTCCTTGAATACAAGGTGTTTTCCTTGTGAAACTTTTAGTAGCTTTAATGGCATACATTAATTAGAATTTTTAACCCTTTCAGACCCTAGGTTTTAGTGAAAACTAAGAAGTAAACAGTTATGAATCATCTTTTACATTAGCATTCTATAACTTGGCAAATTTACAAATGCTTTTTATTATTTTTGGAAGCATGCTACTTCATAGTACAATCTTTGAATAAAATGCAAGACATGTTTACTAATAGATTCAAGGATTTTTTAGTTTCTCTGTAGTAAGAGGCCCAAAGTAGATACACCTATCTACTCTAATTAACATCACGGATTTTATCTGCCATGGAAATGACCTAGATATGCAATAAATTTTAGCATTTAACTCAATTAGCAAAACTCTAAGGTTTCAAGTTAATAAAAGGTTTTGAAATTCTTTTAAGCCCATACACCATAACACAGAGTGACTGTTAAAAATTTCACCTAACTCTCTTATCATTTTCACGTCTATTTAATTTACGTTTCCATATTGATAATTCTAGAAATGTATTTATGTTAATCAATCCAACAAAGTAAAATAAGCTTCCTCTTGCCAAAGATTGTTTTATATCATGTTAACTTGAAAGACATTTGAGTTTGTTTCTGATACATTTATGGAAATGCTTGCTTTCAGAACCCTAAATAGAGCTCTTTGCCATCTGGAGGTAAGATATCACACGTATATGACATATACATAGACACACCACAGCTGTTGTTTTAAAATTACCGAGATGAATCATGTGCAGTAGTGTAAAGCTCACTAGTTATGAAAGAATAATGGAATCCAAATTTTGTTTTAAGCCCTTTCAAGCAATATTTGTGAAGAAGACCCACAAGATGCTAGATTTCAGGCAAGGGTGCATTATGGCCATTTTTCTTGAATATTTCCTTCCTTTTTCCTCAATCTTAGAAATTGGTGATGGGCTGGCTATCAGTTCCTGGAAAGGTGAGGCAATAAGCCTTTTTGAGATAAAGGAAATGGGTGGACTCTGAACTGCCTCTAGAGCTGCTTTATGCTTTTGCAAAGCTTTGTAACTTGAAGAGAGTTGTTCTTAATTTCTCAGAAATTTGGGATCAAACTTCAGTGACATTGGAGGTTAATCGATGGGTCCAACTACATCATCCTAATTGGCTTCTTTCCCTCTGGGTGCTTAGTTTTATCTTAACTTAGAGAAGAGGCCAAAAAATTCTTATCAGGCTCTGAATATCAGCTTCTAGTTCGGCTGCATTTCTCGTCATATGTTGCTAACTCCTTTCACATGTCTTCTCTGGTTCCGGAGGGACAAAGAGTAACTACCTGGTGGTATTGAACAATTCCATTACCTTTAACATAGCTGAGTCCCAGAATGGCTGTCGGAGTTTCATTAACTCTGGGAGAATATTATGGGGGTGTCTATAAAGACATGGCACAAGATATTAAATGCATGGCTCATGCAGTTAGATCAAGGAATGTGTGAACCAACTTTTCCTAAAGCAGATTTCTTACATCACTGTCAAAGTCTCATTGAGACACTATAACAAAATGAGAGATTGGCAGCTGATCCTTTTCACAGTGAGCTCCTGAAAGATGAAGACTTTAAGAATCATGGACTTCCAGCTGGAGATTTTGCTTTTTGAGAAACACACCAGATAAAAGACTCTTTTCAGCCCTGTTGGAAAGGAGCATAATAGGCCTCTCCACCTGAGTGGGTTTCATTGCCTGTTTTTGATAACGAGCTTCAACTGACAAAGGCAAAATTCTCCAAACCAGATGAG